CATAACTTTTGTACTCTTTTATATTTCCTCTATTTTCATAATAAATAATAGTATCTGTGTATGAAACTAATGTTATTCTTAAGTATCTATAAATGAATGATGAATATAACAATACAAAGACTTCTAATTTTTTCCCCTTCTGTTCGCCGAGATTTAATCAAACATAAGTGGGGTCTCGTGGTGCCGCTACTCTATTTCACGCGTATTTCGCCCATATTTTCAACAATTAATAACTCGGAAACGAAGCCTCAAACGCAATACCGTCATTCTTGACTTTTGTCTTAGTTTGGCGTATAGAATCCACCATCTCATTGTCAGATTGAACATATTTTAGTTTTCTGGAATCCTTACTTGACATTATGCTTATAAAAGGTGTTCAACAAAAGTTTTTAAAATTAGTTGCATGTTTCCTGAAAATCTTCTTTTGTCAATATTCCAAACGTTTGAATTCTTAAAAACGAACATCATTCCACAGTTTCCATTGATTCGTAAAAATTCGCAAGCGTGACCCTTTTCAAAGATCATTAATGAATGCAAACGAGGAAAGAAACAATTTTATGGTACTTTAACAGACAAAAATTTTACAGTTTAAGTTTACTATAAATATGAGAAATAAAAAACATGGAATTCTCTACGCAATCACGACAACTTATTACACGTAATACACTGACCTTGATTATCCGCCTTGCGTTTCTTGATCGGTACATCGCCACCCTCGTGTTGATTCACTAATCGCTTCAATTGACAATTCTGTGAGAGTAGCTGTGTTTTCTCTTGCTCCAGCTGGTATATATACTCCGCAGTCTGTTGAAGTATCGCAGCCTGAAAGGATGAAGTGTTATATTATTAAACAGTCTTTGTTAGTCTGACCCTATAAAATGTAAAATCATTCATCACTGGAAGAAATTCCAATATTACCAATCTAAAATCATGTATAGTAGACTCACGTTAAAGTATCGCACGTTAAAGTAGCGTTTAGGACGCCCCGGCTACGACGAATCACTCACACACGTGCGCACACCCCACTTCGGTCGCATTCTGTAATCAATTAGTGGATCGACAGAGCTAAAACGAGATTCATGTATGCCACTGGCTCATGTTAAAGTACCGTTTCCTGAAAAAAGTAGCCTCTAGAGCCCGAGCAGCAGTACTTTAACGTGAGTCTACTGTATTATCGTTAGCGTCTCAATACGCCTAGATATGCGAATTTTTATTTTATATGTAGGTATTTCAGTGGATAGATAATGCTTTTCTTAATTAAAAAAATACAAACTTTTTCTACAAAATCTATTTATAAATATTTTTAATGTTTGAGAAAAAGAATCGACCGATCGGGTATCGGGCCGGGAATCAAACCTGGATTTTTCACTTTCCGGGCGACTGATCTTACCACAGAGCTACCCGGGCCGTCCACGATTCTTTCTCTACAAATTCATATAATGTATACAAACAACATGGCTGCCGCTGCGTTCTACCGTCCACATTATATGTTTTGTAAAATCGTTGGACAAACTGTTTGTTTAAGAAACAAACTTCAAGCTGAATATTACCACTGTGATCTGCCTCCTGTTAGCAAATTAACAATAACCTCTTTTAAATATTGTTTACAAAATGATGCTAAATTATTATTTCATTATTATTTTTATTGTCCGATAAATTACGCTGTTACTTTTAAATCCGGTATTGTTTTCGAACGAATTAGCCTACCCTAAAATAGAGGGTGAGGCACGTAACTGGAACCACTTCAATGACTGCGTAAATAATGATCTTAGTGAATAATGTTATAAATAAGAATTGAATGGTCACACAAAAATATTTCTCATTATTTATGAAATTACATCGTCGATGAACCAAAAATACTAATAAAAAGTAGAAATTTTAGAAGGCTGCCGAGCTAATAAAATGAAAGTATGATTTTTAGGATAATCTTTTGATTTATTTATGCAAAATAAAGTTGCTTAAATTATTAGTAGTGATCAAGTCAGAGAAATGCGATCCAATAACTATTTATTACGTTTTTACGTGATCTATTTTAAAGATGCAGCAATTGCTTAATTTAACCGCAACAGACAGCAAAGAAACAAGAAACAATAGAAGGGAAAATATATTAAATACGCTGTACAGGAAAAGTTTTCACATTCACCGGATGTTTTCCACGGACCGTTCTTCGAACAGTACGTACTATGTAACGGAAAATGTCGTCAAATTAATTACGGGTCAGAGTACCAATGAGTAATAAAATATGTCATTAATTCGGAATAATTTCACAAGGTATATAAAATGGAGTGAAGTTTCGAAAAGCTGCGAGTTTGAGGAACCGTTCAGGACTGTTGTTCGTCGAATCGAGCGAAATCGGTATTCATTATACATACTTAAATTTCCGTTTATATAAATCTAATATTTACCGAGTTCTTGTTCAATTGTAAATGTGTAAATTATTTAATAGTAATATAATAATAATAATATGTTTCTGGTACAAAGAGTAGCATATATTATATCAAACATGAGTCAAACGCCAATATTAATTGAATAAACTTAGGGCCCCTTTCTCCTTTAGCAGCCGGAAACAAAGGTGACACTTAGGAATTTTTTTTAAGAAAAGCAAAGAAGATATGGTAAAACAGTTTCGCTAATCGTGTTGATCCGAAATTGAACTGTAGGTATACAAACAGTGCCTATCATAACATAAACAGTTATTAACCGATTTAAAAAATTTGTGTGGTATTCCTTTTGTAATTGAATCGGCTATCGTATGACCTACTATTGAAAACTTTGAAGCACAGATTTTTTTGTTATTCACAGTAATATATGTACGTAAAATTTCCTTCTTTTTCTTGGAAGTCTTTGTTACAAGTCATACCGAATCCGGCCATTTCATTTTTTTGACTTCATGATAGGTCGTACGATAGACGGTGGAGTAATAATCAATAATCTTTTTGAAATTTGAATTTCTGACTACTCTACATCGAAATATCGTGGGTATCGTTTATACAGTGCAATTCTGGATTAGCGCCAACTATATTTTGCCATGTTGTACGAATATTGAAACAAAAAATTTGTTATTTACTTGAGTGTTGTTACGAACGTGAACCGTTGGGAAGGTTTTTTAAAAAAGAATACTCACAACTTGCCTATCATTAACACTTAACACTTTCGTTATAATAATTATAAAACTGTACAAATTCACTGGTAAACAGTTCTTAATTAACTGAGTTGTCGCGCGCCTGATGTCGCTCTTTATTGTATAGTGTCTTTGCGACGAAATACTCTTATCCTCTTAAGTCTACCGTAATATAAACATCGAGTCAAGTTACAATGTATAATAAATAAAGGCCAGAAAGTTTTTGTACTATATCTTCTTTGATTTCTTTAAAAAAATTCGTAAATGCAGTAAAACCTTGAATAGTACTCGAAATTTGGGACTGGAACTCGGGTGGCTACGAAGTAAAGGAACCGATTCTAAATACAGAATCACCGCCGAACGTTAAAAAGGACAGCGAGTGAAAAATAAAGAGTGACTGAGCGTCGAAGTAACGATAAAGTTTACATGCCAACATGTCGGTGAGGTAACACTAATGCAACAATGCAAATTTTTTAATTTTTATTATGTTTCAATAAAACTCTTACTAACGCATTTGTGAGATTTTTATGATTAACACAAATCAAAACACGATATATTTGAATATTTACTCATCAATATTAAGTGCTATAAATGATAAACAAGTAACTACGATCCAAATTATACCGTATTTAGTATCATTTTACTCAGAAAAATCTCACAAATACGTTAGTAAAAGTTTTATTGGAAAGTAATGAAAAATAAAAAAAATGCATCGTTGCATTAGTATTGCCTCGCTGACACGCAAGCATGTAATCTTTTTCGTATTCCCGTTCGGGAAGTCGCTGCGGCGAGCCAACGTGTTACATTGAATGCTTGACTGGTTCCAAGCAGGACCCTACCAGTGATGGGGATGGACACCGAGTACTTACGCCCAGATACTTTGCGGCTACTATTGAATGTTTGACAGTATCACCTTTTTGCATGCCGCTAAAGGAGAAAGGAGCCTTAAGTATAAGAAATTATTTAGATACTAATAAATCTGATTTCAATTATACTGTATTGCAATTTATACGGGAAAGTAAATGATTTGTTTATATATTGTTTTGTCATGCTAACCAGCAAAACAATATTTAGTCTTATTTTTTGTTTGCAACTATATTATAAGCCCTATAAGCAAAATCATAAATGTAGGTGTAATATCAAGTGCTTTCTGCTTCGAATAATTTTGTATTACAGTGGACTCTTACGATATTGCCACTAGGCCCATTGCCACGCGAAGCACTTCCTCTGCACACGTACTTTCACGCACCCAAAGTCACTCTCCCACCAGATAGCATACGCCGTCGCCACCAGCACGATTCAGCTCTTGCGTAGGTGCTGGGATGGGGCTATGACAGCAGAACTTATAAGGGGTGTACCAAGGTCGACTAGTCGCTTCTGGAACGACACTTAATCTAAATAAATGAATGACTAGATGCGTACACAACTTTAACCACTTGCGCTGGCAACCAGGTCACAAATGCGTGTAATTTCGACGTGTGTTTCCAGCGCAAGAAGTTAAACCAGAATATCTCGAAAACCAAGGCCCATTCTACGAAAACCAATGAAGGTTTTCTAACGCTATATGTGTACTTCAACTTGTATATAGTGTCGTTTCAAAAGCGTTTAGCCTACCTTGGTGCTCCTCTTGTTAGTACAGAGAGGGTACCGTTAAGTCATTATTCGAGGTGATCAAGTTAGCTGAGATACCCTGTATACTTTGTCGGTTTTTAGTATGAACGAATGTCATTTCTAGATTATTATTAAAGTAATTAGGCCTGGTAAAAATAGATTAAGCATAAATTAACAATTTCATAAAAAGAACTTTTATATTCAGCTTTATGGCCATTTAATTCTGATTTATAAACGATTTCAGAAACATGGACACCGGAACAGACTTTAAAAATGAGGGTAGCCAATACGAAATCGAAGAAATTTTGCAGAAAGAAACATACGGTACTGATGTGAATTACAAGCATAAATATCTGTGGCCACATGTCGTGGTTCACTCTGCACTTCAAATAGGATGGTTAATCGGTCTTTACGCCGCATTCTTTTACGCCAAAACCGCTACTATCTTCTGGGGTGAGTTAACGATAAAAATAATACCACTATCTGATAAACCATAGTAAAATTGAGTTGCCGGCCGGCCAATGTATTGTGCATGTTCTCAATACTTTAATTCGATACTTGTACAGAAAAGTGACACTATCGTGTTCTGCTATATTTTTGTTGCGGGACATAGAACGATAAAGAACAATGTGCTGCCTACAAATTTTGCAGGGTTCTTCATTGGATTTATTGCGGCTGAAGGAACAGGCCTTGGCGCTCACCGTGGCGCCAGCCACAAGAGTTTTAAAGCAAGCACTCCTCTGAGAGTCGCTCTCATGCTTAGTCAGACGATAGCCGGCCAGGTAAATATCTTCTTGGAATCTAATGAGAATTACCAATAAATTATATTTAACACTATGACTACCGAGCGCAATTTTGTATGTTCGCCTCATATACCGGAGTGAAATTTGTACTACTAGAAACCATAAATGGGCATTATCTAGATAAAAAGTTATTAAATAACGATTCAAATAAAAAATAATTTATCTTTATCCGTTATTCGAAACTTCGAATAAATAGATTTATCTTTATTCGAAACACCACGGATACAAAAATTTTTCGAAGTGCATTTATTCGACGGCAATAGATAATTTTTTTAGGAAGAAAAAAA